GTCAACATTTACAGTAAATGCTTGGTACATGTGATTTATTAGTAAAGGCACAATTTTATGACTTTTTTCCCCCATTCTAGTAACTGTTTGATTTTTATTGATTAAAGAAAAAAAAATTGTTTTTAATCTGTGAAAGTGAAAATGCATGTGTGTGTAAGAGAAATATTTACAGTTTTAATTTGTAAAACTTAGGTTAACTTTGTACTTAATAGCATTGGATTTTCTTGATGCTGTAGGATAAGCAGTAGACTGCTAACTGCAAGACCAGTGGTTGAAACCTACCAGCCACTCCCCAGAAACCCTGTACAAGATCCCTGAGTTGGCACTGACTGCCAGTACTTAACAACAGTTAATAATATTCAGTTAGACCTCAGCAGAATATCAGCAGTGTTGCAGGGGTTAAAGCACGCAGTTAACTAAAAGGTTGGTATTTGAACCCTCCAGCTGATCTATGGGAGAAAGACGTGTCAGTCTGCTTCCAAAGAGTGTTGCTGTGATAATGCTAGTGAGTCAATTCTGACTAATAGTGACCCTGTATAGGGCTTCCAAAAGGAGCTCTGGTAGCGTAGTGGGTACGAATCAGGCTGCGAACCACAAGGTCAGCAGTTTGAAACTGCCAGCTGTTCCGTGGGAGAAAATGAGGCTTTCTGTTCCCATGAAGATTTACAGCCTTGGAAACCTGTAAAGGGTCACTATGAGTAGGAAGCGACTCCACAGCACATAACCACTACCAACCATAAGGCTTCCGAAGCCTATAAGTCTGTGCCGGAATGGAGAGCCTCATTATTCTCCCACAGAGTGGCTGAAAGGCTCCAACTGTGGACCTTGTAGTTCACAGTCCTGTGTTTAACGTGCAGCCCTGGGAAGTCTATGAGGCAGTTCGACTCTGTCCTACAGGGTTATAGGTATAGCTATGAGTTGTAACTGACTGTGGCACCAGGTTTGGTTTGTTTTAGAGACAGGAAAGATCTTCAGTTTCAGCAGTGGCAGCTTAAACATTAAATCAACATCCTGACATCACTAAAGGTCAACAGCCTCTTATCCCTGACTTCCTCATCCTGAGTATCTGTTCAGCAGAGACAAACTAGTTGTCTTAGATTTGTTTTGCTGTACAAACAAGTTATTTCTTAAATTTTCATCTGTAAGATTGTGAAATGTCCCTCAATGTGTCCTGTTTATTTTCAGTGCTCCCATAATACTAGTAACTTAATAACAACAGTAGCAGTCTTACTTTTGAATATCAGTCACATATTAAGGAGCTCTGGTAGCATGCGTAGTGGTTACAAATTGGGCTGCGAACCGCAAGGTTAGCAGTTCGAAACTACCAGCTGTTCCGTGGGAGAAAGATGCAGCTTCCTGCTCCCGTAAAGATTTACAGCCTCGGAAACCCTGTACAGGGTCACTATGAGTCGGAAACGACTCCACAGCACATCACAACAACAACAAGTACAGTTTCAGTGTCATTTTAAGAAGTCTGAAGGCCAAAGTCCACTTCTCCACACAGAGATCTTTCATCCCCAAAGCTCTGTTACTGTATCTCTCTGTGGCCTGCGTATGAGAATCTAACTCAGAATTTCAGTGTGTCCTAGAGAATGCTACTTTCATGAAATGAGGAAGAGCTTCCTAGGAACTGCAGACTGCACCCGACCCTACCCCTTCCCCCACCCCTACCACATCTTATTTAAGAGCATCTGTACTGTAAGGACTTTGGGGTGTCTTGTGGTGAAGGAATAGGTGGAATTCTGCAAGCTGATTTACCTTGCAACTCTCTTGAGGGTTGGAGGTGTGTTCTCTTTGTAAAACACCAAAGGACTAATAACACAGTGTGGGATATACTGACCTAGCAATTAGTGAGCACTGATAAACATCAAGGAATGCCTGCGAAATAGACTTTCTCAGCAATTGAGATCATTTAGCACACACAGCCTTAATCATTTTTACCACATCCAGTTATGGTTTGTAATTTTAAAGATAAGAAACATTGATATATACAAAACCAGTGACTTTTAACTAAAAGCAAAGAGCAAGGAGCCCTGATGGTGTAGTGGGTTATGTGTTGGGCTGCTAACCTCAAGGTCAATGATTCAAATCCACCCAGCTACTCCTCAGAGAAAGATGAGGCTTTCTGCTTCTGTGAAGATTTGTAGCCTTGGAAACACTATACAGGGTTGCTTTGAGTTGGAACTGACTGGATTGCATGCAGTAGCAGCCAATGAGTGATGGGGATTGGATGAGGTTAGCTAGTTCAAGGCAATATTCTTGACATTTTAATAATATGTCAAGAATATTTTTAAATAAAAATATAGCAGTGAAAATGTATTGAATTATCTATGTTCAGTACTTACTTTACTAATAGCATCCCAGTTAATGTTCATGAAAATCCTATGATTAAGGCACTGTCTTTGTCTGTTTTATAGATTGAGGATGTTGAGGCTTCGAGAGGTGAAGTGACTCATCCAAGGCTACACAGCCAGTAGTGTGTAGGACCAGGCCAGAACCTAGGGTCATAACTATTTTGCTTTACTGCCTCCCAAACATATAGGAAAAATTCATGAAAGTAGAAAATGACAAATGTACAAACACTCCTCCACCACACCTTCCTCTCCTTTTTCAGTGTTATTTTAATTCTCAATAGGACTCACAAGAGGGAAGCGTGACCAAGAACTCTAGAGTGCTTTCACTGCTGTTTTACTTGTGGTACGTGAAGCATTAGTAGTTCAATGGTACAATTCTTGCTTTTCATGTGAGAAACCCAATGAACCTCCCGCCCAGCCACTACCAGTCCATCCTTGGAGGATTGCATGGTGCTATGATGCTGAACAAGCTTCAGTGGAACTTCCATTCTAAGAAAAATGAGGAAGAAAGTCGTGGCAACCTTTCAAAAACCAACCAGTGAAAACCCTATGGGTTACAGTGATCCCATCTGCAACCAATCAGAACCAGGCATCTTTTCATACTGTTATGCATGGACTTGCCATGAGTTGGGGGCTGGTTGGAAGACAGCGACCCAACATCACTTGAAGAATGTTAAAACTAGTAATTAACTAGGTTTTGAGATTTTTCCTTCCTTAGATATAAATGGTGCTTTTTAACATTGAAAAGTGCTGATGTAGTTCCATTTATTGAGCCGTGATTCTTGAATTACTATGCTTTCTTTTTAAACACACTCTCTTATTTCAAGTCATACTTTTAGCTGATAGGAAACATTACTTTGAGTTTCCATGGAGAAACATTTGACAATCAATCCCTTGTATTTCCTTTTATTTAACATTCAAATGTCTTTCATCTTCTGAGACATAAGTATTGTCTTCATTAGCTTATTGGTCTTATGTTTGCATGTATTTTACAAGTAGTGAGAATAAAGTTTGAAAAGATTCTCAAAGAATTTTGCCAAACTTGATCCTTCACATATTGCTACTCCATAGCTGTACTTTCTTTCAGTATATTAATATCCATTTTCCTTTTAGGAACCTAAAGATTTTGAATGATGGTTGCGTTTTATCATTATTTAAGATTTTGTTCTTAAGCTACTTAAGCCCTCTGGCCCTCGTGTTTCCATTTCTTCTCAGGCAGCGCATACAGAAAGCTAAGCACAGTTGGAGAAGAGCAAAGTTTATACGAGAACATGACTGAGGCTGACTGAAATCAGTGATACCTTGAGAAATCTGTTTCCCTTCCTGCCAGACAAAGAACTCTGTAATAATTGCAAGCTCGCCCTTGTGGTTGAAAACATTGTAGTCATCAAGAACTCACTTGATCTTAGCCATGGGAAGAAAATTTGTCACACCCACACACTGATAATTGTATATGTGTTAAGACCTGTTGCAACTTGAATGTTAAAAGAGTAAGGATGCAACTAACGATGAAACCATGTTTCTAGAAACGGTTTCATTCTTAGGATATTTTTATGTAGTTTTTCACAAATTGCATGTCATGGTTCACCACTGTCAATTTCATTTGGCACAGCCAACATGCTTTTGATTAAAAAAATGAAGTGGAATAGACTACAAATACCAAATACATATAACAAAATACATACAATAAAATGAATCATATTTGTTATTAATATGTATATATGCAGAAGTGCTTTCTTAGCTTTTGATAAGAAACGTATGTTCTAAGGATAGGTCATAATCAAACAAGTTTGAAAACTGCTGTCTTAACTGTTGTTAAGTGCCTTGGAGTCAGTTCTGATTCATAGTGACCCGATAATAGGATTTTCAAGGAGCAGCCTGTGAGCAGCTGCCAGGCTTGCAGTTAGCAGTCCATTGCTTGTCCTCTAGTACCACACCAGAAGTCTTACTATCATACTCTAGTGAGTTGTTAATAATTAATATAAAATAACGAATCTTATTTTTACTCCACTCAATTTTCTAACAAGTGTAACTCAGTTTTAAAGCGTTTGCTTGCTTATTTTTATTTATTTTATTGGGGTGGTGTTTGAGGAGGAAATGGGCAGATGTGATGAAGGCCTAACACAAGTCCTTTGGAGGGAATAACTTCAGCTTCAGGCTGGTTTAGGATATATCAATGCAAGACTGAGGGCTCTTTAGGGTAGACATGGCAAGGTTAGGCTTTCATTGGCCAGATGGTAGGGCCTTAAAAAGTTTGAGCCAGACACACTTGGCAGGAGTAGGCTTTAAATGGCCATGTTTTCAGGCAACAGTTTCAGCTAGGCCTCAACCCTCAGGGCGACCACTGTTAGGGCATTTTAGGGCCAACTTCAGACTGCCTTGGTATTACACATTGAGAGCAATTTTGGCAACATGGTCATCAGGTAGGCTTTAAATGTCATGGCTGCTAAGGGTTTTTAGGAGTCAGTTTATGCAGGTTTAGATTTGGACTACAGGGGAGGAAGGCCAAGCCAACTGGCTGGTATGCTTGTAGCGCTTGCCAGACCGGGGAGGAAAGGTCATTCCTAGAGACCCCACAGAGGATGGATGTGGAGTGGGGCCTGACAGACCCCCTGCCACCCTGGAAACATTAATCTTAATCCAGCCATGGCCATGGATCTATCGGACAGCAGAGGGGACAACAAGACCAGGGGAAAGGCCTTCCCGGGAGCAGAGAGACAGCCACGAGGTGAGGAGTCAAACACAACCCAACACCACATCACAGGGTACCCACGTGCCACCCCACCACCCCACACACAGCAACCCTCACACTCTCATCGGCCAATCACACACCACCAACCAGACCGATCGCGAGCAAGCACGTGCTATCCCTAACTGCACCCCATGTATGGTTAGAGAATGTATTGCCAGAGGTCGCCACCTGCCAGTTCTGAGAGACTTGTGTGACAGCTAACATGCGTGGCAAGGCTGGTTTCAGATCCAGACTAACGTGGAGAGGTGGGCACGCAGTCCAACCAGGCAGGCGATGCGGCTAGTACTACTGCAGTGAGGGTGGTGCAGTGAACAGGTTCCATGAGGTGGGTTTCACATGGCCAGGGTTATTAGAGCTTTTTATGGCCCGAGTCAAGCAAGCCTAGGTACCATACTTTCTAGTACTGTGCTTACTTAGTCCAGCTCTATCTTAGTTTTGCCTTTCTGTTAATGAAATATTGTTTCTTATCAAAGGGAAGTCATCTTTCTAGGAAGTTATTGTTTTCCTTTCTTAGTGGGTAGAATTAGAGTAGACTAAATAAAAGATTTGACTCATGGAGACAAAATTCTAGGATTTAAGTGTGTTTAGAGAATACCTTACATGTCCCTGCTCCTGAATACCCCGTCATCGAGCGGATTCTGATGGTGAAATTGCTCCATAGGGTTTCCATAAGTCTTTATGGGAGCAGACTCCCTCATCTTTTCCCCACAGTGTGACTGGTGGGTTTGAACTGCTGACCTTTCATTTAGCAGCTGAGCATTTTAACTACAGTGCCATCGGGGCTCCTTGCCTCCTGAAGGGCTGATGGTAATAGATGAAAATTAAAGGGGTATCCATCCAGGTGGTGGTATTGTGGTGGTGGTGGTGGTGGTGTGCCGAGGAGTCGGTTCCAACTCATAGTGACCCTATACAGTGTTTCCCAGGCTGTAAATCTTCACGGGAGCAGAAAGCCTCATTTTTCTCCCATGGAACAGCTGGTAGTTTCAAACTGCTGACCTTGAAATTCGCAATCTGATTCATAACCACTACGCTACCAGAGCTCCTTAGTTGTTGTTAGGTGGCATCGAGTCGGTACCGACCCATAGTGAGCAACTTTATGCACAGGCAGAATGAAACACTGCCCAATCCTGGGCCAACCTCACTATTGTTGCCACAGTTGAGTCCATCGATGCTGCCGTTTGGCCAGTCGTTGGGGGTCTTCCTCTTTTTCTCTGACCCTCTACATTACCAAACATGGTATCCTTCTCCAGCGACTGGTCCATCCTGACAGTAGGTCCGAAGTATGAGAGACGAAGTTTGGCCATCTTGGCCTCCAAGGAGCACTCTGGCTGCACCTCTTCCAAAACGGACCTAATGGTTCTTTAAGTGCGTCAAATTGTTTTTGACTCATAGTGATCCTCCTGTATAAGGTTTCTGAGGAGCTGCTGGTGTGTTTGAACTGCTGACATTGAAGTTAAAACTAACCTTGTAGTCAGTGCTTTTCCTAGTACCACCCCAGGACTCCATATCCATCCAGTAATTTCAGGCATATAAAGAAGAAATACTGGACCTTTGTTTGTGGTTTTGTGCCTGTCGCTTACTCTCTGGAATTACTTGTTAAGGGGGCTCTCTCCCCACAACTATAAGTTTCTTGAACTAAGAAGTCTGTTATACCAAAGTCTTACCTGTTTGTTGAGTAAATTTTAATGACAATTTACACATATTGGGTCACAGAAATGTTTCCCAAACTTTGTCTTCCAAACTTCCAAACTATAAGGCTATACTGAATATAGACTTCAATATTGCAATGAACATTGGGTGCATTTTATTTGTTTTCTTTCTTTTTTTTAATGGTAGAACAATGCCTCTAACCTTTTACTATTAAAATGTCCTTGTCTGATTTAATTTTGGGGGGTTTTATATACTACTATGCACATGAACCCTTTTCTGTCATGTATGTTGTAAATTATCTTTTGAAATTAGTTACTATTTTTTTCCAAGAAAAAAATGTGTTTTGTTTTGGTGGGAGAGGGTAGGAATAAGAAGTTAGGATTAGAGTTAGGACTGTGGGTAGGTCTAGACTAGGCCTAGGGTTTCTTGTAGTAGTAGAGTTATGGTTAGGACTCAAGTTAATGTTAGAATTGGGGCAGGGGTTAGGCTAAGGTTAAGGAGTAGGGCTTTGTCTAGTTTAGGGTTACAGTTAGGTTTATTTTTTTCACTTTAATTTTTATTATTGAATTCTACTTGATTTTCCTCTTCAATAGTAAGTTCTATAATTATATGATTTCTTTTTACTTTGTGAAATTTTGTTGTAGCAAACTCCTAACTCTGGTTCTATATTTTCAGTCATGTAGGTTTGTTTTACTTTGGGTACTTCTATATATGGGCTGTGGGAGTGTGGTGGCTCTGTAGGATAAGCACTGGACTGTGAACCAGCTGCTCCATGGGAGAAGAAAGATGAGGCTTTCTGCTCCTGCAAAAAAATTCACAGCCTTGCAAACCCTATACAGGGTCACAATGAGTCAGAATACAGACCTCGATAGTATTTAATCACAACAAACACATGTCTGGGTTGAGTTTTGGGTAATATTGTCTTCTACTTTAATCTCAGGTTGCCAGTTTTAGCTCTCTTTCCAAAGTACTCACTTAAGTAATTTTTTTATAAGATTGGTCTGGTTTTTATAAATTCTTTTACTTTCTGTTTATCTGAACTCCTGGAGAACAGTGTCTTTGCTGGGGGTGGATAAGGGTGGGAGCTGGCCAACCTCAGGTCACCAGGGGAGCGTGGGGAAAAAGAAGGAATCATACCTTTCTAGTCACCTGTGGGACTCTGCTGTGTTGCCAAAGCTACTCTCAAAGGTTCACAATGGTCACCCTGCGTCAGACAGGCTCTTCACCAGTCAGGCTACCTCTCTTGCTCTGACTGCTCAGCTTCTGCTCCCAGCAAGAACTCAATCCACTTCTCTAACCTTTCCTCTGAAGTTCAGGGTTTCCAACTTTTCATTGGTGCCCATTTCATTTGGTCTCTCGTATCTTTGTTGTAGAGGGTCCATGTAGTGCATCTGTCTAGTCCACCATCTTGCCAGAAGTCAAGTTACACTTTGTCTATTTTTTAATTTAGATCGTTTTCAAATACTCAGTATAAAAATACTTAAATTAATGTATGCACGAAACCTTGAGAGTTCCAAAATATTCATGAATGCTTACAGCTTTAAAAAAAAAAAAAAAACTAAAACATTTTATGCTTCTAGCTATACTTATGTAAGTTGTTTAGAGCAAGTGGCTGGTCAAACTCACAAACCAACTGTGGCTCTGAATAAACCCTGGATTTAGACTCTTCAAGGAGGGCCCACCCTTGGTATAATATAGAGTGGAAAAGTGCTTTCAGTATAAAGATAGGAGGAAATGATACATGGTTTAGTCATATGTGCTTTAGCAATTAGATTACAGTTCAATGGAAGAAAAAGATAAACATTGTGTAGAAACTGCTTTTGAAAGCAGAAAAATTCCCCATGGTGAAACTTCCTCCTTCCCCCTTTTTTCCAAGGACACCCTTTGACCTGAAGGCCGTGGAATCCAGCTGTTGCCTTGTACTACTGAATCACTTCACTTTACTACCCACCCCCATTTTTGCTCCCAGCACCACTTTTTATCCTGTCAGGAGATACAATATCTACTTGATACATCAGTAAGTGGGATTAGATGGTGACAAGCCTGATCCCTTCATTAAAAAATTCCTCATCAACCTTCCACCTAATGGTAATCATTATTCACTGATTACCATCTCCAAAGTCAGTTGTACCTCACTAGAAAATTGTTCATTTTAATATGAGAATATTATGAAAGTCTGTAACGGGAAGTTTTATAAGGCAGGAGTTCAAAGGTTTTCCTAAGACTAAGTACAAACACATGTGTGTTCCAAAATCAAATACAGAGATGAGACAAAATGTTTTTAAAATCCTAGAGCCATAGCTTGTTCAGCTGGGAGTTCTTCTCTGGAATCTACTATTGGTTGAAAAACCTTACCGAGTTTTACCACAGGGAATTTTTCTACTTTTCAAAAGTCACCTGTAAACTGGGACATGCATGATGCACCTAACTACGACTCACCATGCCATGCTCTTTACTCAAATGTGAGAAACTTTGATAAAATATTTGGTACTGAGAAGTTTTAGAAGTATATAAAGTGATAGGGGATTATTGTCATTAGGTGCTATTAATTCGATTCAGAATCATGGCCCCCATATGTGCAACACAAGAAAACATTGCCTAGTCTTGCACCATCCTCACAATTGTTGTTTGAGCCCATTGTTGTAGCCACTCTGCCAATCTATTTTGTTGGGTTCTTCTTTTTCACTGGCCCTCTACTTTACCAAGTATGATGGCCTTCTCCAGGGACTGGTCCCTCCTGATAACTTATATAAAGTGCATGAGATAAAGTCTCACCATCGTTCTATAGAATAAATCTGAACTTCTTCCAAGACAGATTTGCTATTCTGACAGTCCACTGTACTTTCAACATTCTTGAACATACTATGGCTTGAGTCAGGTGCACCTTATTTCTCCAAGTGGCATCTTTGCTCCTAAACACCATAAAGAGGTCCTTTGCAGATTTACCCAATACAATACCTCATTGGATTTCGTGACTGCTGATTCCATGAGCATTGACTGTAGAGTCAAGTAGAATGAAATCCCTGACAACTTCATTCTTTGTTATTCATCCAGTTATAAAGATTTTTGTTTTCCTTACATTGAGGTACATTGAGTACATTCATATGGAACACTATAGTCTTTGATCTTCATCAGTAGTGTTTCAAGTCCTCTTCATTTCCAGCAAGCAAGATAGTGTCATCTGTATATCAAAAGTTGTTAATGACCCTTCCTTTAGGCCTGATGCTACATTTTTCTTCATATAGGCTAGTTTCTTGGATAATTTGCTCAGTATACAGAATAAATATGTGTGGTGAAAGTATACAACCCGGACACACACCTTTCCT